AATAATATTAATACATTAAATTAATATATAACATGTGGTAAATGGTACCTAATATAAACATAGATATCCACATCTCCAAAAAATATTAAAATAAAAACACTATCTTTGAATAAATTTATTTATATTAATTAATTATGTATATTTAAATCTTGACCATATAAAGAGAATATTAAAATAAATACACTACCTTTAAATAAATTTATTTCTTGTRTATATAGTTCTACTATGAGCTTTAATAATTCCAATTCATTCAAGATTATATTTTTACAAAATATGGATAAATTAGTGACATCAGTTCATTTGCAATAAAGTTTATAATCACAAATCATTATGMTACTGCACTTTTCATAGATAATAATTATAAAATTATAAGACTAGTCATAAGRATTTATTTAAAACTAATTAGGTATAATTTGTATAATATTAGAGACAATATATTATATATCTTTTGACCATGTAAAATAATAACTGGGTACCTATTATAATTTATACCTAATTAGTTTTAGATAAATCCTTATGACTGTTCTTAATTTAATAGTTATCTTTGAAAATTTAATATATTAATATTATTAGTGATGTATGATTCTAACTCATTTAAAAATTGATCTATGTTATCATTAGGAAATCTATAAATTCTTATAATTGTGAAAATAATAGTATTTATTTTAAATTTAAATTTTATAATTAATTTTTGGGTGACCTATTATTATGGATTATACATTCTAACATTTATTGATCGAATTTAATCAAGTTTGATTTTTCATCAAATATTTTTAAGCCATAACTTTTATTAAATTTACCTATTGAGTTGATTGTTTGATAGACATTTAATACAAATTTAAAATCTTAAGCAACTAATATTTCTCATAAAACTATAACATCATAATTACAATTATTTGAATGAAAAAATAGTGTTAATCCATCAAAATGTAATCTAATGCTAATATTTAAAGGTATGTAACATAGAAATTGCCTTTTTATAATAACAAACTTGAATTTAATTTTATTATTACCTATTATTTAAATTTAGGGATTAAACATTATTTATTGATTATTGATTATTTATTAACTTATACCAGTATTGTATCTAAATTTATGAAAAAGTTTTATTGGCGAAAAGAAGTTCCCTAATATGATTTCGAAACAATTTATCAAAGTAATATCAAATTCATATTTAATTCTTAWTGTTTTTTGGACATTTATTTTCTCATAAATATTAATAGATAATACAAATAAATAATAATAATACATGTGCAAATAATTATTATGTAAATAGTACCTAACTAACCGAAAAATGATTTCAAAATTATACATTTTAATCCAAAATCTTTCTCAAAATGTATAGAAATGGATAGAGTTGCTTTAGACCAATTATGATACAAACAATCATAAAACTATTCAATAATACTTCTCTGGTAGGTATAACATATTATGTTCTTAAATGGATATTCATACTTGCTAGTTATTTTCAGGCCGGCACTTGTGATTTTTTATAGGTACGTAGACAAAACTTAATTTTGACGCCCCTGTGATCTAATCGTTTTTCTTCCAAATAAATAGGAGACAAGTTTTTGTTTTTTTTTAATTAGAACTAAAGTAAAACTTTTTTAGTKTATATACTACATAATAGTAGGTAGTATATTTATTAGACAAAAATACATACATTTATAATATTTAAAGTAAAATGTTAATTAATTTAACTAGCCACTGTTTCATTTCGCGTTCCATCCTACCCAACCTAACCTAACCTACGAGACACCATTCTCTTTTCTCTATCCTTACCCATCTCACCTCGTATGGTCATAACTAACATAAATTTAATTTTCTTGCTTTTAAAGATGCAAAATCTTTGACGAGATCATCAATGTCCAAGTTGTCAGCGATTTCATGTTCAATTGAAATTGTTGCTAGTCCTACCAAACCGTCTTTTGAAATTGTTGAACGCAAATAGATTTTAATAATTTTTAATTTAGAAAAGCTTCTTCTGCTGAAGCTAAAGTTACCAGTATAGTTAGTAAAATTCTCAATGCCACGTATACCTATATTAGGAAATATTTCTATTAATTTATTTCTGCATATACCTATATATTGTAAAATCACATGTGGGTCACTCTCTTCCTTTATTAATCGTCTGTRCAACACGATTATTTCTTAACACCATATTCAAAACTAGACCAATAATTTTGGGAGTGCACAAATAGTGAAGACTAAAGAGCTCATAGACCCGCGGGGGCAAAGCCCTCACACTCCCAAACCACCAATTCAATTTCTCTTCACATTGAATAAAAAATGTATTTAACAAAATTAATTGATCAGTAGTCAGTACTACCTATCTAGTACCTACCTACCTATTTTAACATAATTTTTCTAGAATGCAAATTAAATTTGTTTAGGGTAATTAA